TGTCTGCTATCGTAAGATTATACTTATTCAGTGACCTCTTTCTACTGTGCCAGACATAGAATGCAGGGTAGAATTTTTACACTAGGCCTAATGTCTGTTACTATAAGATTGTGTTTATTCAGTGCCCTTTCTACTGTACCAGACATAGAATGCAGGATAGAATTTTTACACTAGGCCTAATGTCTGTTACTGTAAGATTGTGTTTATTCAGTGCCCTTTCTACTGTACCAGACATAGAATGCAGGGTAGAATTTTTACACTAGGCCTAATGTCTGCTATTGTAAGATTATACTTATTCAGTGACCTCTTTCTACTGTGCCAGACATAGAATGCAGGATAGAATTTTTACCCTAGGCCTAATGTCTGTTACTGTAAGATTGTGTTTATTCAGTGCCCTTTCTACTGTACCAGAAATAGAATCCAGTTTGATCCAGATTAGATTTCTCTAATCTCGCACATTAAAGCTCAATGAAGAAAATAGATGGCTCCACAAGTTCTCCTGTATATTCTGTATGAAAAGCTATGATGCCTAGTACCATGATTGAACTCATTTCAATGTTGTATAAAGGATATCACCACTTTAGAATGATGATACAAGGTTGATACAATTCTTTTAGAAATGTTGATATATCTGCAAGCACGTGTATGTTATTATTATTATTTTTTTTTGATAAATTGTAAGGTTTATAAATCTTATTTTAGGCAAAAGACGGCAGATGTTTCCATTTCTTCTGAAGTGCGTGCTACAACTGTTGTGACGTTACCACTTTCAGTTGCCACAGTAACAGCTCAAGAGAGAAAACCCTATGCTCACACACCACACCCAGGGTATATGTATCCAGGCTGCTTTGGTCTACCCTATCAAGTAAGAACATGTTACCTAGTTTACCAATACCACTTTAAGTTTAACTAAAAGTAGGGTTAGTAATAAAAATACAATGTATTTCAGGATCACAATTACGGAGCACCTCCACCACCCTCACCTCCTGTGTCTCCAATACCCAAAGTAAATGTATCTATCGATGAGGACACCAACTTTTCAGTTACGTCCGTCACATCAACTAATAATTATGACAAAGTTCAAGATGAAACCATAACAAGATGTATTTGGTAAGTTAAAATGAATTACGTTTAAATTGTACCTCACTTCATGATGTAAAAGCAAAGTTTAACGCTTTCAATACGGGCTCAGTCATTTTGACCAACCATGTTACTTTTGTACTCGTTTAAAGTCTTTGTAGATTTTGTACTTATAACTCTCAATATAGTGGGAATATCTTCATGAAATTTGGCAGTCTTTCAGTTAATATTACAAGTCTTTCAGGTACAAAAACTCATATTTCTTAATGAAGTATTTTTAATAAACTAAAGATTTGTCCATGAATATATTGAGTATTTGTTTTGAATAGTCCGCGTGCAAAGTAATTTTCATGTTAAAATTAGAAATACTTTTCGTCATCTCAAAAATCTTAAATTTCCTTTGTGTAATCCCTAAAACCTCCTAAATGCATTTCAAACGTTTTTTTTTTTTCAGAAAAACTTTTTAGTTCATCTGTTATTGTCTCTACCTTATCTCAAAAAACAGGATCGGTAAATTCAACCAACCTCATAACCACCAAAAAAAAATCTAAATAAATCTAAATTAACCTTTTTTTTCTTTGTAGAATGACTTCAAATTGTAACATGAAACTACATTCTTTTATCCTAAGCAGCTCTAAGTTCTTAACATTATACATCTATTTATAATTTTATTTTATTGTTTTATTGCCCTTTGAACTGTGTCTAACAACTATCCGTGGCATTATAAGTTGTAAACCACTCGGGTAACGTGCAGCTCATGTTACACTATCGAATTACATTACCCAAGAGATGCTTGCGTGTGTGCCTTGTCTTGTCTTAAATAACTTAAAAA